ATAAAAAAAAAGATAACCCTTTTATGAAGTCAAAAAAAAACAAATGTTACAGCATTTTTTTATACACAAAACCCTTTCAGAAAAAAATAAATAAAAAAAAAATAAATAAAATCTATAGACACGTAAACCAGACTAGGCGAAATCATCTTCCGTTTTAAATTTAGACACCGATAACCTTACCCTGACTTGACATCTGTGAATGTAACTTTATACTGATACAAATTATTAACAATTAGCCCTTTTATTTAAACAATTGCTCTAGCTGTTACCATAGAAATTTTGATTTTTAAAATAATGAATATGCTATTAAAACACGTAAATCAGATTAGAAATAAGTTATTCCAAAAAAAAATTTCGCTTGAAGATGGAACAGAGCTTTACTTTAATTCAATTTAATTCAAATAATTATATTGAATTTTTTGGCTCTTGTTTTGAAACATGAGACCTCTTATGTAGCGTGTTGGAATCATATTTTAAATTTTTTAAATATATATATATATATATATATATATATATATATATATATATATATATATTTTATAAAATGTCCTTGAAAGACAAATAAAATTCGGTAAAAAAAACAGTCTTATTAAAAATATTTTAATTTTCGAAACAAAATGAATTTTTGTATTTATTCATTTTTTATAATGCTAATTTATATTTTAAAAAAAAAATTTATTATAGTTTTGGCTATTTAACCCGTAAGTTATATTATGAATTATATATATACATTTTATTAAATAATTGTTAAAGATAAAATTTTGTACTAGGACTGATTATATATATTATATATATATATATATATATATATATATATATTTCATATTATTTTATATAATATTTCATTTTGAAAAAAATAAATTCAGTATATAGTAATTTTATTTGTATGGATAAAAATTGTAACATTGATTTTCACGTTTATGATTGCAAAATCGTAAAAACCCAGGATCAAAAAATTATATAATACAATGAATGATAATATATATATATATATATATATATATATATATATTTAGAAGAGAGAAAATAAGAGAAGAATTTAAAATTATTTTGTCCAGATAATAGATAGATAGATAGTTAGATGATAGAAAATATAAAAATCAGATATTGCAAATAGATTTTTTCTAATAATTTATATTTAAATATATAACGATTTATATATATATATATGAGGAATATATCAAAAGGATAATTTTTTTCAAAAATAGGATGGAATTTATATATATATATATATATATATATATATAAAAAACAATTAAAATATTTATTATAATCATTTTTCATGAATTGATTGAATATGAAAAAATTAAGAAAATAATATATATATATATAATATATATATATATATATATATATATATATATATATATATAAATTTAAAAATTAAATTTAAATGAAAGACGGATTATTTGATTATATATATAAATATAAATATATATATATATATATATATATATATATATATAAATATATATATATATATTATATTAAATGTGTGTGTGTCATCTCCGTTTAATGTAAATGATATTGTTTTCAATTAAATATGTTTAAAATTTTGTTTTGAAAAAATGATTCCTGTGCTTAAGTTTCCTGTGCAAAAACACTAGGAAAAAGAAAACAAATGAAAGGCATCCAAAAAGGAATTCCTTTTTTTTTAAGGAACTCAACGAAATTTTGGTAAAAATATGAAAGATGTTAAAAATTTTAAAAAGATTTGAAAAGGAGAAAGGGATTAAAGAATTTTTACTTATTTACTTATTGATGTATCTATATATAGAATGCACTGATTGGTACATTTAAATTTTTTGGGATGTATAGGAGATTGAATAATGTCGTCAACTGGCCTCAAGATGAATTTGAAAAAAAACAAATCCAAAAAAGAAAAAAAAAACAAAAAAAAAAAAAGAAGACGGAAAAACCTAAAAAAAAAAAAATTCAAAAAATTTAAAAGAAAAGACGAATACCAAAGAGGATTTAGCTTGATTAGACAGAGATAAGGAAGAAAAATTATAAATCCAAGAAAAAATAAGATGTTTGAATTCCTTTTTATATAAGAGAGAAAAAGTAAAAAAAAAAAAAAAAAGAGAAAACTGTTGAAAATAACAAAAACTTGAAGAATCTTAGAATAAATCCCTCATATTTTAGACCAGATATATCCGAATCATTAATATTCAATTTTCTGACGAATGGTAGATTCAATCCCATCCGGAATGATTTTGATAAGAAAATTTTTCACATCCAGACACATATCTAAATTTTCTATCATATATAGAAATTGCATGTCGGACATGTTTTGATGTATATATAAATGGGTGATACAAAAAAATGCATTTAAAGTTTATACCTTTTTATTAAAGTAAATTAATAAACCTGTTGAATTAAACAATCGTTTTCCTAATAAATAATCGATTTTGTAATTAAACATCAACGGTGATGTCTCTTATAATTAAAAAACAATTATTTTGGAAACTTATGACATTTTTAATTTACCTACAAATAATGAATAAATGTATTTATTATATATATATATATATATATATATATATATATATATATATGAAAATGTGTGTGTGTGTGTGTAAAATATGTCTGTCTGTTTTTATTTAAATCTTATAATAAAAAAAATAATAATTTATATGCAGAACTCCATTCTTTTTCTTTCTCTTATTTTGACACCCTGATATATATATATATATATATATATATATATATATATATATATATATATATATATATATATATATAAAATAAAAATATAGACAAGTATTGTTATTTATTTTAGGTAAATTTTTTTCATTTCGTCTGATAAGCTTAATAACATTATCATTAAACGAAAAAAGAAAATCACAATATTGATACATTTTTAATCCAATCTATTTCTTACGGTTTACATAAGCCATTATCAAAGATGACAGGGTTTACAATATATTAAGCAATACATGGACAAGACATTGATTTGAGTCTTGTAATTTACATGGAAGTGGGTCCGGGGTATTTAGCATATTCTTTAGTTTATCGTAGATGTATATATTTATATTTGCTATATTATATATATTTTCAATTTTTCCTTGGCTATTTCAATATATTTTTTATATATAAGTCATCAATTTGTTTGTCCATGAAATATTATATATAATATATATATATATATATATATATAATTTTATATATATATATTTCCCCAAAAAAAAGAACAGTAAAATTATTTTAATTGGGTGCATCTGATTGATATTTTTTTTTTACAAAAAAATGCTCAGTGTAAATTTACAGGCATAAATATTATAAATTAGCTGTTAAAGATTTTTCATCTTCTTACGAATTTTTTCCAATCTTAGAAAGATGAAAAAAGTTTGAAATGCTTTTAATTTTAAATTATATAATTAAATTTGAAGTTTTTTTGTTTTTGAAACATGGATAATTTTATTGCGAAGAAACCATATTTTAAATATTGTTTAATTTTTAATAATATATATATATATATATATATATATATATATATATATATATATAGTCAATAGATTAAAGACTGACCATTTGGACTTGTATCTGATTGTTGGTCTGACATTTTTAATTCCTCAAAGAGAAAAGAGGGAGAAAATTCTTTTCCTGCTGGCATTAGTCGGAATTTGAAATCATGAGGAAAATTGAAATTTAAGAATATTTATTTTAAGATAAATAAATAATGACTAGAAATTGCCTAATTTTATTATTTCTTAAATATATATATATATATATATATATATATATATATATATATATAAACATAAAGAACAATCAATTTAATAATCATTGGCAGTTCTTTAGCATTTTAAAGTGCATGGATCTGTTTTTTCATATATATTTATAATATTACTATTTTTAACATATTTTTCATAGCGACACGGAAATCAATAAAATTTCAGAACCTTAATCATGGCTCCAGATGATCAAGCGATATTTAACAATTTTTGAAGAAAATGGTTTTTTCATTTTTTATTATAGAGTTTTATCTTGAACTTCATAAAGATTTGTACATATATAACATATATATAATATATATTTAAGTGAATATATAAGTCAACAGACTGTGGTCATGAAATTTTTTGACAGCCATTTGTGTGTGTTGAACAAATACATACAAATTTTGGTTCCTTTTACACAATGTAGTTTCTATCTCTAAATATTGATTTTTTATCCCATAAATATAACACATCTTAAGACTATATTTACAACAAATATATATATATATATATATATATATATATATATATATATATATATATATATATATACCGGTAAAGGTGTTACTTTAAAAGTTTTCAAGAAACAGAAAACATTAAATGAAATGTTCAATTAATCGTTTTTCCTAATAAATAATCGATTTTGTAATTAAACATCATATATCCATATATATTATAATTATATAATGATTTTGGAAACTATGAAATATTTATGTTTTCAAATATATATATATGTGTATTTATAATATATATATATATATATATATATATATATATATATATATATATATATATATATCCAACATATATCTATTTTATCCACAAAAAATATATGGATTGAGGAATAGGTGTGACTTTTATATATAAAAGGTGTGAATCCATATATATACCTGAGGGTAAAAAGGAAGACATATAATATATATATATATATGTACTGTACTGTACTGATGCGGCATTCACCCTGGGCGGATTGAGCCGGCTTCTTCCTGTTATGAGAAGAAGATTCTTGGGATAAATTACAGAAGTAGGGTACCCAGGCCTACTCGGATAACGTTCTTGCTTGATAGGGATTCCCACAGACGCAGAGACAGGAACGACCAGAAGCCGCCGGTTACCGATGCAGACGCTCCTTGGATTTTCACCAGAGCCCTTGTTGCCGGTATGTGTGTCAGACCTGTCCGCCTTGGGTGGGCCCTACCAGGAACGAAGTTCCGGCGGCATAGCTCTGACACTACTAAGGAATGCCCCCCCAACGACTGTGAGGTAAGGGTTTTTTGGGGTTTACAGTACCAGGTGTTCCCAAGCGGTCCCCCCATTATACTGACCTGGCTCTACGAATCTTTTAAGTTCGGTGATCGAACGAGAACCGGTGTTTCAGCGTGATTTAACCGTAAAAAGCTTTCATTGCCTGTGGATGGTTCTCACAAAACATTTAGTCAACTATAATCAAATCTTCATGTACTGAAATTGTCAATATGTAAGTTTCCTAGGAACTGATCTGCTTGGCCTAAATCTCTCTCAAAAAATCACACACTATAAAAATCATTTATATTTATATATATATATATATATATATATATATATATATATATATATATATATATATATATATATATATATATATATAACAAAATTACAGGAATAGTTTTTAATAAGAGTTCTATTTTAATATTCTGAATGCAAATTAATTAAAATATTTTAATAAATAATCGATTTTATAATTAAACATCAACGATGATGTCTCTTTATAATTACGCAATTATATATATATTTGAAGTGGAAAAAATTCAAATAAAAGAAAATATTAGCAAAACAACAACAACAGTTTATCGACTCAAAATCAGGATATTTTTTTTTTCTCAACAAATTTGAAAATACTGAATATTCAAGCGACATTACACGTTTTTTTATAAGGAAACCATTTTTAGATTTTATTATTCTTTATTTTAAAACTGCATCTGAAAGTTTATTATTTATTACGAAGATGTTTAATTAACTTTGATGTAATAAAAATTAACGGCTCTTAACTAAAGAAATGCGTTAAATAAAAAAATTCCATTGAAATTAACGGCTTAGAAGGATAAATATGGATTACGACGAGCTAAAAATTGTCATTGGGCGAAAAGTCAGGAGAAATTTCATAAATGTTATTTTGTTCACAATCCGGGAATAGTGATTTTAGAAGCAAAGGAAAGTGTGAACAGTAAAAGTAACATATCATCTATGAATTCATGGCTATTTTCTCACAGCTAAAGAGTCTGAATCGACAGAGATGTCGTTCTATAATCGAATGCCTATAATATCACAAACAAAACAGATGTGGAAAGAGAAGGTTCCAAAAAAATACAGTAGAATCGTTCTTATACCAGGGTTAGAATACGTGACCTGTAAGGAATATTTTAAAGAAAATGAATGTCCAGAAAGATATTTACACCGAAAGTATTAAGAGATAGGAATTTTTTTTAAACAGAAAACAATGCTGAATTGCTATGTAATATCAAATCCTGTATATGACAATGAATAAATAAAGAAAAGCCAGACATCATAAAAAAAAAAAAAAACAAACTTACAGAGAAATGGTTATACAAACAAATACATTGTATACCAGGCTGGTAAAAAAAAGAATTATGAGTAAGGGTTTTTTTTTTCCCAAATTGCTTATTTTGCAGTGGATGCTGGACAATTTTATTACGGATGAAGCAACATTGAAGCGACAGAAAATTCTACCTAAAGAAGAATACTTTGATTATGACAGACCAGAATATGCAAGGAGAATGCTTTAAATAAATCTCCGGCATTTTAGTTTTTTTGGACCATCTCCTCAAAGATGAAATCATTTTTGAAGATGTATTTCTAATCCTGAGAATAACATGGTCAGAATACGTGAGCAATGAGGAAGTTCGAAATAAAATAAAAACTAGAATTATATTTACCCAGAATATTTATTTTGTTTTACGGCATATCAACACCTCAATGGGTTACTTAATAGTGACAAGATTTTTAGGATAGGTTCGTATGAATAGAATATGTATTCTTTGTAAGAAATCACTTTCTAGATCAGGATTAGTTTATTTTGTAAGAATCAATTTGTAGATCAGGTTTTCTTTATTTTGTTTTATGGCATATCAACCTCAATGGGTTATTTAATGCCAACAAGATTTTGAATTTTCTTTCTCTATGAATAGAATATGTATTCTTTGTAAGAAATCAGTTTTTAGATCAGGTTTGGTTTTTTTTGTTTTACGGTATATCAACCTCATTTTGGGTTATATAATGCCGACAAGATTTTTAGGATAGGTTCGTATGAATAGATAATATATAATTCTTTTTAAGAAATTTTTCAGATCAGGATTAGTTTATTATATTTTTTTATATTAATCAAACCTCAGAAATTTGATTTATTTAATTTTTTTCCTAATTTTGGAGAAGTTCTATTATATGCAAAAAAAAACCCAAACTACAGAGAAATGGTTCTATAAACAAATACATTGTATACCATGGTTAAAACATATGAGTATTGGGTATATTGTAAAGAAATCTGCCATTTTGCAGTGGATGCTGGACAATTTTATTACGGATGAAGCAACCCCAAGCGACAGAGTTGTGGACCTACAGAAGAATACTTTGATTATCACAGACAGAATATGCAAGGAGAATGCTTTAAAAAATTGGTTTATACCAATGACTACCTATACTTAATACTTCTCGTTTTCACTCTCGCGTGGTCATGTGTGACGTCATGAGCTGCGGTGAGATTTTCGCTTCCAGCGTCTTATATGCACGAGTTTGTCGTTGCTTGGAAATCTTCCATGTAAACAGAAACAGACTATCATCACTGTCTTGTCCGTGTATTGCTTAATATGTTGTACAGTAATTGTCAGCTTTGATAATGGCTTATATAAGCCGAAAGCTTAGATTGGATTAAAAAATATGTATCAATATTGTGATTTTCTTTCTTCGTTTAATGATAGTGTTATTAAGCTTATCAGACGATATGAAAAGAATTTACATAAAATAAATAGACAACACTTGTCTATATTATTTAATGAAACATGTATTTATATGATAGATAGATAGATAGATAGATAGATACACCTAGTGAGCCAGACAAACGAAACGAGTCTAGTTATCTATAATTATATATATATATATATATATATATATATATATATATATATGTACATTCTTCACCGATAGCATGACTCAGAGTTTCATGCACAACACAATCTTCAGGTGTTGAGTATAAACTGACCGTTACGTAAATTAAATTTTAAAAATATCTGGATATCGTAATGTTGGCACTTAAAATAAACCTATTTGAATATATATATATATATATATATATATATATATATATATATATATATATAATAATTATTTTATAGTTGTGAATATTATTTTTTTTTTTTTTTTATACTAATCCTAAAGGAAGATTACTTATTCTTAAAAAAAAAACGAGCCGTAATTTACATTAAACATTAATCTGGATCAACGTATTTAAGCAGATATTTAATTTTAGGCCTACAAGAAACCATCAATTCATTTCTCTTGTTTAATTAGCCAGAGTCGTTTAAGTTAACTAATTTTTCAGCAAGACATAACTTACATCTATTTGCTTTCCTGTTGTAAGATTTGGCTCTTGCTATAATATCCCAGGTGATAAAAGGTGTATTACCATCATTTTTTCATTGCCAGAAAAATCAGAGAGAGCATTGCTGTTTTTGTATTCTATATTACCTAAAGTCATTCGATGGTGATAGAAATTAAATTTTCAAGGATTTCCAGTGGAACCAAAGTAAAATTTAACATCATTACCGGAGTGTATGCTAGCTTGGTATACAATATTATCAGTCATACATTGACCGTTTAAAGGGCAGATCATATTTTTCGGTAGTTGCATTTTTTTTTTTCTTAAATTAACTTTGCTGGACATGTTTCTGTTTAATATAATATTATGTTGGATTTTATCGATGTTACTAACGCATCTGTAACTGATCTTAACATTATTTTTATTAAAAATCTTTCTTAGCGTTTGTGAATTCTCAAAGTGCTTATGAATTAAATTTAGGAAAATTCTTCCGACATTATTTTGAACATTATGATTAGAAGGTGGATTAAATCATATGATGTTACGCTTACGGTGTTTCTGTTTATTTTTACTTTGTTTTATTTCTAAATATTCTAAATTTACTTTATGATTGCTTAGTTCAAAAGCTTTTATATATTTGATTTTATTATTATCAAATATTTCCTTTATTGCTGGAGTTGGTAGATAATCTAACTTGGACTGAGTTATGTAAATTATCTAGAATTTCATCATGGTCGTTCGATTCTTTACTGAAGGATCTATGCTTATACAGATCTTTGGTATATGGTTTGGAATAACCATTATTCAAATCCAAGATGACATCAAGAAATTTGATCACTTTAGCATTGATAGTGGTAATTATATTTAGCTCATGATCTTTGAAAAAATTTTCTCAATTCTTTTTAATCGTTCTATATTTTGGGGACTAGTTTTACGAAGGAGAATTACACCGTCATCTCTACAGATTCCGGTGTTCTTAATCTCGAAAATAAATCTTAGTCGTCACAGCAATAAGATTCCAAAACTTTTGCATGCTAAGTCAAGTGCTATAGCAATATAAAATTCTGGGTTGCTTCTTTTGGTCCACAGATAACCATTATGGAATAATTGTTACGGGACCTTACCCAGAATAACATATTGGACTATTCCATACGTAATAAATACTGCGCCTCAAGAGGAAGCAGAGAGTTCAGTCCGAAGTCGGACGACCGGCTGACCGGCTGATCGGTTGAACTCTCTGCCTTCGGGCGGGGAGGAACCCGAACGAGGCTACGCCGAAGGGCGGAGTCTCTTTCGGGGAGGTAAACCGACCCTGAACCCGTTTATACGGGTTCAAAGGGCATATTTTTGGCCGAGCCCACGGGCTCGGAGATCCTACGTTAAACCGCCGTTGTGCCACATGATGCCCTCGTGTGGGGGGGGGGGACTAAATACTATTCAATCTGAAGTCTGGAGTGAGGTCCGTCAGGAGTCTGTCAGTCATTCGAGTCAGAGGCAGTCCGAAACAGAGTCGCGTTCAGACAAGTACTACTAAACCTGTTTGTTCGTACCAACACTTTCTACTTCTCTGTATATATTCCTGTTTGTAATATACCTGTGTTAATCCATACCCGTATTCGAGTTCTTCTTTATTGGTTCTACCTTGGATTATCACCGGGGTACAAGGAACCGGACCATAAGAATAATATAGGTTTTTGTGCTGCTTTATGATATTTATTTCGCGATCGCTAGTAATTTTTTGCAAAATTTACAGCAGACATTAGCAGATTCTCGGTGATGGGCGGGTAAAAGTTTAAATAAATTC